CTGGTTAAAAGGGAGACGAAACCAAACAAACCACTGTTGTGTCAAGGCATAAAGACCAGATCAACAATGCTGAGAGGAAGGGAGACATCTGAGGACGTCAGGAAGAAGGTGGTGACAGCCCATCAGACTGGGGAAAGCTATAAGACCATCTCCAAAAGATTCCAGCTTCATCCATCCACTGTAAGACAAATCATTTACAAATGGAGGGCACTAGGCATCACTACAACTCTGCCCAGATGTGGACGGCCGTCAAAACTTTCACAAAGAAACACCAGAAAAATAATAATGCAGGTAAAGGCCAACCCACGCATCACCTCCAGAGAATTGCAGACCTCTCTGTCAGCGTCTGGGATAAATGTACATGCGTCTACAATCAGGCGAAATATCAATAGACATGGCATTCATGGGAGAGTTGCTAGAAGGAAGCCTCTGCTCTCAAGAAAGAACAAAGCTGCCCGTTTAAACTTTGCCAGACAGCCAGAGGCTTCTGGAATCCATTCTCCGGACGGATGAGTCCAAAACTGAATAGTCACAGGCGCCAGGTTTGGAGAAAAGTCAACACTGCATTTCAAGAGGAGAACCTCCTCCCAGCAGTGAAGCCCGGTGGTGGAAATGCTTTTCTGCCTCCGGACCCGGACGACTGCATACAGGGACCATCACTACCAGGACCATCATCAGGCAGGATCTCTGCCATCAGTCAGGGAGTTGAAGCTGGGACAGAAATGGATTATGCAACAAGACAATCCAGCAAAAGTACCAAAGAATGGCTTAAGAGAAAAAAGATTTGCACTCTGGGTTGGCCCAGTCAAAGTCCGGATCTAAATCCCATAGAAATGCTGTGGCAAGATCTGAAACGGGCCGTATAGGCCAGATGTCCCTCCAACCTCTCTCAACTGAGAGTTCTGCAAGGAGGAGTGGACAAAAATCCCAAACAGCAGATGTGAGACACTCGTCCATAGTTACAAAAGACGTTTAGTTGAAACAATGGCTGCAAAAGGAGGAGCCACAAGGTGCCAACCGAAAGAGTTCACATGATTTTCTGTTTTTGACAGATAAAATACTTTTGTTGAATAAATAATGAAAACATGTACCTTTTTTTTCTTTGTACCCCTTATTTGAAAGGTCTGCTTTACAATTTGAGAATGGGATGTTCATTTTACATGATTATTATAATTTTTCTTTAGAAAACAACGACAATGTTTGAGAGGGATGTATAGAGATATTTAAAGGATTAAAATCAGAAAAATGTTTTGGTGCTGGACCGAACTGAAAAGCAGCAAAAGGGAATAGTTCAAGTCTGGATGAGTGACAGGAAAACATGGAGGTTTGCTAAACCTGACTAAACGAACATGAGAATAATAAAACCGATTTATGAAGGAGAATCAAACTAAAAGAATTTCCTGGTTCATCGTCGGATCGAGGTTTATGGAGCAACAAAACGTCCAGAAATTCAGCTTAATGATGTTTAACCGCCTGCCTGCCGCACCGATCAGCTGACTGGTAAAAACCTGCAGCCGGGTCCAATACTCACATCCAAACAAAAATACACATAAAACTACAATTATTAACCAACAACTTGAAAAACAGAAACATTTTTCACAAGCAAATTAATAAACTACTAAAACAACAATAAGAACTAAAAACAGCCAAAATATGTAAAACCAGTCAGATGTTAAAGTAAGGTAAGGTAATTTTATTTGTATAGCACATTTTCAGCACCAAGGCAATTCAACGTGACAACAGAACCAGATGGACTCGGGTTCTGCTGAGGCTCAGAGGTTCTGGACCGGGGAACCGGAGCCTGACCTGCAGGATGTTTCTCAGCTGCAGCTGCACCTCCGTCTGCCTGAGCAGGTCGATGCGCCGCCGCTCCAGAACCGGCCCGACTTCAGCAGAAATCTGCTATCTGACGGCAACAATGTTACGTAAAGCTGGCACGCTGCAGTGAAGTAGGGTCAAAGGTCACTGCTCTGCAGGAGAACGGGTTGGCTTTGGTACGAGCTCCGGTTCTGGAACCGAACTTCAGGTGAAGAACCTCAGAGTCCAAAACCATCAGAGATCTTCTCACCAAGACGCCTGGTTTGCTTTAAAACTTAATATTTATTAACACGATTTATTGATTTCACCAGATGATAAAGTATGGAATCATTTTAGAACGTTTCTCAGATAAAGTTTATTATTTAAACATAAATAAATGTTTAAAAACATAAATAAATTAAGTAAATGTTAAAAAACCCATTTCAAAGATTAGAGAGAAAAGCAGATCAATGTTGCTGTTTGGGCAAAGCAATAATGAGATAAGATTAATAATCAGTCAATATCAAATCAATTCCTCAAAATGTTTCTAGTTTTTTGTTCAGAAATGATTCAAACACATTTTAAATTCAATTAATAAACATTTACTATTAATTTATTTCCATAAAATCAGTAAAACTTCTGATTTCTGCAGGAAATATGATGCAGAGACGAAAATGTTCTCGTTTGAGATTATTGGTTCAAAAAACCTCAACATGAAGACCAGACATGTTAGAGAGACGCAGAAACTTTTCAGCCATTTAAATGCTAAATATTTTTAAAATCTCCACACAGGAGCAGCCTCCAGCCCATACATGATGCAGGAAATCATCCCAAACTCCGGTCAGAAAGACCAGAAATTACTTTTAACAACGGCTGAACTTCATAAACAGACAATGTTCCGACCCGACCCCGGGGGAAACGGGGAAACAGTCGGAACCAGAACCTTCGGGTTTGGACTCGCATGTGTGGGAATAATTCCAGGTATTAATTTAGAGGAGAAAGAATTTGAGGTGAAACAGCCTGGTCACCTGCGGACACCTGCTGCCCCCATTAAGGCCAAAAACAGCCGCAAACTGGGAGAAAACGTCCAGAAACATCCAAAATTAATCTTTACCACAGCAGCGGTCAATACAGTAACCAACCGATACGAAAACCACAGAATTAACCCAGAAAAACCACCGTGTCCGCCACTCACCGCCTGTTCATCGGCCTGACCCGCACAGCCACCCGGACAGACGCCATCTTTCATCCCGCTGCAGCGCGCGCTCTCCCGGCCACTCAGCCTCCGGCTTCCCGCTCCTCTTTATGGCAGCAGCCGCAGCAGCAGCTAGCTCCTGGCTAACAGAGCAGGGGGCAAAGGTCCGGAGATAACCGGCGGTCTGAGGGCCAAACTCCGTTGATAGCAATGGGGGAGGAGGCGACGAATTCTTGCCTGGATAAATGTTATTGGAGCCGGGGAGCACCGAGTCACAGCCGCGGCATGAACCGGATCATGTCCCGGATCCTGGTCATCGACAGGACCGCTAGCTTAACGTGACCGGCTGCTTCATCAGCTGATTTAAAAAAAAAAAAAAAACAATAGGACTTATGGAAGGCCTGAAGGGAAAAAAATGTTTTCTGGGCCATCGATGTTCTAAAATTTTTACCAAAACGGGGGACATTTAAAAAAAAAAAAAAAAGTTTCCCTAGAAAGCATTCTGTGAGACATGTATTTTACATTGTCTCACAAAAGCTTTACATTCCCATGGAAAACATTTGCTTCTCACAATAATATTTTTTTCTAGTCAGTTCATGTTGCACCTTGAAAAGTGAATGTCTTTCTGCCAGATACGGTTTTTGTAAGGCTTTTACACATTAAAATCGTATTTTTGAGTTTTATATAAAATATTCCACAAATGAATACTGCGGAAAAACCAGGTAAAACATGGGCTTTCCATACCTGCTCGAAGACAAAAATGTGACAGAAACTATCTATAAAAAGGAAAAAAATGAATCCAAATGTATCCCCATCTGGCAGTTTTTCTTGTAGAGTATTTTTTATGTTGGTAATGTGATTAATGAACCTGTTTTCATGTGAAGTTTGTTTAAGATTTTAAACAAACATGAATGTGCAGTTGGTTCAGTTTTCTGCAACAAATAGTTAAGAATGTATACAAAGATTTTCACTGAGCATCTTTAAAGGTATATGTCCGATTTTAAATGTACATTTGTTATCACTGTGACTGCATGCAACACGTGTCAAACTCAAGGTCCGCAGGCCATATCTGGCACACCACAGCTATTTCTGTGGCCCTCTAGACTTCAAGCAGGCCAGCCTTTGGGAGGACTTGATGTGTCCTTACATATTATTTTATCTGTCAAATAAAATCAGTTTCATGTGTATAGAGCCAATATACTTCAGTGTTAAATAGTTAATTTTTAGAACTACTCACTGAATGCAGACAAAGTTATAGTATTTTAGTTGTTAGTTACTTTTATTAATACATTCTCCCTCAACCGGCCCTTTGAGGATATTTATGATCTTGATGTGGCTCGAAATGGAAATGAGTTTGATGCCCCAGGTTTACAAAATACAGCAGGGTGTGTGGAAATTTACTATGAGCGAAATAAAAATCTATTGCAAAGGAATGAAATCCTTTTTTGAGAAAATGCAAAAGAAAATGTTGGTCCTCTTGCTTTCTTTGTAGAAGAATAGGCACCAGGCTTAGCGCTCCAGGTGAGAGTTGTTCTCGGTTCCACTTGTGTAGTTAACCCTTTAATTAAGAGGATCTGTCTGAAAATANATGTTTTAAATGTAAAATGTTTATATTTGTGTTCAGTTTTGGCTTAGTCACTGCTCTGAATGTGTTGTTCTTTCAACAAATTGCTTCTTTATAATCTGTATTCTCTAATAAATGATTGACTACTATATCAGTTGATGATTATTTCAACAATTGATTAATCACGATTAATCCGATTAATCATTTCCTTGCTTCATTTTATATGTTTCTGTTTGTTTATATTTATGTTGTAATGGAAAAAAATAGCTGGAAAAAGACTTTTAGTTACCTTTTCCTTCATAGTGTGTGCTTAAAGTGTTGAAATGTAGATTTGCGTGCTTGCAGCGGTGAGTGTGCCAACATCCGTGGGATTTGGAGGTGTGCGTGGCGCTCTCTGTTCCTAACGCAGACACACAGAGACATCTCGGTCTTTGTACAGCTGCCGACCCTCGGAGAGGCGTGCTGGGGGCAGCGCGAGCCTCCAGTGCATCGATCATCGCGCTGACAGCGCTGCTGTCCCCACACACTGTTCAAAGTGAGATCTTCAGTATGGCTGCTTAGCAAATAATTGATGGGGTGCTTCCTGGTTTTTAAGGAGGGGAGCGCTCAGACGGCGGGCCGGCGACAGGCACTTTTAATGTGGCACGTGAATCACTCTTTCATGACCCATAAAGCCATCTGAAATAACAAAGCACACTGCGACCGTTTGGGTCTTCAAACGGTTACCTGTGAAGCTCCTGTTTGTTTAATCAGGGATGCTCCACTCTGACTCAGTGGTTGTTTCATTTTTTTTTCTTTTTCCATAATTTCATCAGTGCAAAAGGTGATCATTGGGAAGTCAAGTGCATGAATAATACACTTGTCTAGTGAATTCCCCACTTTTTATTCTTTTATGGCAGCTCTTGCTACTGTAGGTGATTGTAGTGAACCACTGCGGTGTTGGCATGAAAACTGCCTGTCAGATGTTGGTAAGATAGGTTTTCAATTTCCATAATCATTGCAGAGTGCAGGATTTGGAAAAATGAATGAAATCCTCGGAAGTGCTTGAATTTCATTTAGGTGATTTTAAGGTTTGGAAAGTGCTTGGTTTTTGTAGAAAATCCTTGAAAGTACTTGACATTCAAACTGCACAGTTTTGTAATGAAGTGCAATCTAACATTTGATTAAAAGCCTAAATTTCGAAAATATTACAGTTGAAACCAGATATTTTAACACCTAATTAAAACAGACTCTTTTTTTTTTACTGTGTTTAGTCTCATTTAAATTAGTCTCATTAAATTAAATGAGACTAAACTTCTCTTGTCATTTCAAATTAACAAAATTATTTTATGAGATACAACTGTTATGTTTTAGTTTACCACAAGTCCTAATTAATGACTGAATAAATTACATCACATAATATTGAATTGAAATAGTCTTCTTTAGCTCATTGTTTTTATCTCCAAAGTACAGTGCTGGAAAAGTTTGACAACTTACCTTGAAGATACTTAAAACGTTCTTGAATTTTACTGTGGGAAAAGTGAATAAATCCTGGTAATAAATGTCTCCATCTATGGTATAAAATATAGCCATAAATAACAGCTGACGCTGCTCAGGTTGGTCTCTGACTTGCAAGTTTTAATTTGTTGCCAAGTTAAACAACTATTTCACTTTATAGTCAGGAATTGATTTAATCATCTCTAGTTCAAAATCTGAATTTCTTTTTCTTGTCAGAGTGAAGTTGAAGTGAGTAATTCTGCACTGAACAGAGACTTAAAAACAGCGATTCATGAAACCTTTTACTGTATTTGCAGTAACACAACTTACAACCACCTTAAATTAATACAAGTGTGAAAACCGTAATGCAGATAAACTAAAAATCTCACAATACTGAAGTAAAAACAGACATCAGATTTTATCTACATATTATTTGTGTAAGTATAAGGGAGAAAATGTCTTTTCTTTCCTACCATCACAAACACAAATGTGCAGTTTGTTAAATTCTGCTATTTTTAACTAGAGCTGTGTGCTTTGGTGTCATCAGACCACAGCACAATAATGTTGGAAGATTATTTGGAGCTACTACCCTTTCTGCTGGTCCCAAATATCTTTGGCAAATTTCTCAAGAATCTTAATGTGAATTTAAACTTTTTTCATACATGTTTGAGTTCTTCTTGCAGCAAAGTGTGAAAACTTCTCCATGTATTTTCAGAGGAGGCATGTACATAATATCTGTCTAACTTCAGTAGGTGTGTCTTCCTTGTATCATTCCTTTGCCTTTTGAGAAGAAACCAAAAAAATGCATTATCTCTCTGACTCCAGTGTCTTTCTGCCTGGCTTTGTGAAAATTGGAAAGTTCAACTTTTGAAACTTTTTTTCTAGAAAATGTCAAATTATTCTCAAAATTTCAATCAACTTTATTTGTATAGTACATTTCAGCAATAAGGCAGTTCAAATTGCTTTGCATCATAAAAATACAAAATACACAGTTGAGGAAACCGTAACAATTTTGTCGAATGCCACATCAAAATGTTGTTAATGTTTCATTTATTATGTTTCTAACCAATTGAGTTTTAGCAGTTTTCTGGAACCAGAGTTTTTTTTTTTTTTGGCATAAATTTATCCCTCCTTTTTTGTTTTTTGTTTGAAATGCCCCTAATACTCTGTCTTTGGAAACAACAGGGCCTAAACTTCCAAATGAGAAACTTTCCTTTGTTTAATAGTTCTGAGCTTTTGGTCCAAAACTACAACAAGCAGAAACAAAACTAAAACTTGCTGTGTGTGCCGGTGCAGCAAAAAAAAACCTTCTTGGCCTGACATCTGTATTGACAGAACATGGTGAGCCGCGAAGTGTGATGCCTGCAACGTCTGCGAGCTGTCTCCTCACTTCCTGTTATTGTCCAGCATGTCTGAATGGCGCCTGGAGCCGACTGCACCTTCCCAGCAGATGGACGGCAAATATGGCCTCTGATTTATCTGGCCACTGATTAACTGTGAGAAAACAACACTCCACCAAATGTGGATCTGTGTGTGTGTGGTGGGTGGCGGCGGCAGCGGGGAGGACAAGCTAATATATTCATGAAAATGTATTCATAAAAAATGTTAATTGTGATCCAAAGCCGTCCGTGGCTCGGAGGATGAGTCAATAAAAAGCAGGCGAAATTGACAGGCGCCTGTTATGTGGACAGCACTCGCAGTAACAGATGTGGGGGCAGAGGGATGGACCGAGCAGGGCGCCTGATTGATCACGCTAAAGTGGGTGAGTGTTAAAATGTTACGCAACAAGCTTTCACTGCGCTTCCTTCCTTCCTTCTCGCTTCTTCAGACCCGATTATGAAGAATACTTGTTGTTGTGATCCATTTGGGATCGAGCCAGAGAAACAGATTCTGACTTCGACTTGAGCTTTTCCCCTCTTTCTTTCTCCTAGCTGTTTTTTTCCCACTCGTCAGGCTTCAGCTCTCTCAATGTCTGATTGTTTAGCAGAGATTTGGACCAAACTCAGACGTAGATGAATGTCAGCCATTATCTCCGGTGGCCATTTGTGCTGGTATTTGACTCACTAATGATCGTCTTCCAGGCAGGGTAATCAGCTTCAACACACACACACGCACACACACACACACATGCACACACACACTTCTATTTTCACAAGGACTTTGACTTCCATTCATTTCTGTAGCCTAACTCTGACCATTACACTACACCCAGCCATTACCAGAACTCAATTTGCAGTGGGGCTGAAACGATTAATTGTGATTAATCGATCATTGAAATAATTGTCAGCCAAGTTTGTAATCGATTAATCGTGAACTGGAACACATAAACTCTAAACCAAATGCCGTTTGCTGATAAAACATCATATTCAGAGCAGTAAACATCAATACATTTAGGATGAAAACACAATTTTCTGTCAATATGTTTTACCTGAATGTCCCAGTAAGCGTAGTTTTAGTGTCACCCGGTTCAAATTCACTAAAGGAAGGCTATGTTGTAGCATTCTGGGCTGATTTAAAATTAAAAAAATATATTTAAATAATAAATTGTCAATAAACACATTAAACCATTTATATAAGACACAAATCTTTTGGTGGAATAATTGTTAAATATTCTTCCATAGCTATGATTAATTTGGAGCGTTACTGTAGTTTAACAGCACTCCAACATAATGATACATGAATTAATATGAATATTTAAAGTGTTCGTTTTTAATAAAACAGGCACTTTATAATTGAATTTAATTAATAATGTTGATTGAAGTAGGAGGTTAAAATAATAATGTTTTATATATATTTGCCTTAATGGATTCAGAGACATTCTTTATTTATTGAATTAATAATGAAGTTTAATTTGAGCTGCGTCTTTTTGCTTCATCTGGGATTTACAGGAATTAGAGGAAAAGTTGTTAAGGTTTTTACTCTGCTGCTTTTATAAACCTGACATCTGGGTGTAGCAATGGACCTGAACCTTTAGAACCACATAAAGACGGTTACAAAGTCTGCCTTTTATCACTTGAACATTTCCAGGATTAAAGGACTAATGAACCACGAAGATCTAGAGAAACTCATCCATGTGTTTACCTTTAGTCACTGATTACTGTAACAGTGTCTTCCCTGGTCTGAAAGCTTTAGCTGATCCAGAACGCTGCTGCTGGGGTTCTGACTAAAACCAGGAAGTTAGAACACATCACCTAGTTCTACAGTCTCCCTGTAGCTCAGAAAATAGACTTTAAAATACTGTTCTTACTTTGTAAATCACTGAACGGCTGAAATATCTGCAGTTGTCATAGCAACCTTCCAGACCTCTCAGATCTTCTGGTTCTGGTTCTGCTCTGCATCCCCAGAACCAGAACCAAACATGGAGAAGCAGCATTCAGCTTCTATGCACCATAAATCTAGAACAAGCTTCCAGAAAACTGCAAAATAACCGAAGCACTGAATTCCTTGAGATCAGGGGTGTCCAAACTTTTTGTCATGTGGGCCGCAATCGACAGGTCAAAAGAATTTACAGGCCAAAAAATGGAAATATTAAAATAGAACTTGGATGTCATTCATCGTAGATCTAAAACTTTAACATGGTTTTGTATATTTTCTGTATTTAAAGAAATTTCATTTAGTTTTCTAATTCTCTGGGTCTTGTTTGAACAAATTTGTTCTGCTATAAAAAATAATTGAGTCACTCTCTCAAAACACTTGTTATATTTAGCCAAGTTTAATAAATAAAAGCTGACTTAGGCACAGCAAAGTCGGCTTTTCAGTAAAAGTCTTTACTTCTGTCTCTAAATATTTCTGTATGTAGAACCAAAAGTATGTAGAACTGGTATACTAAGTTCTGCTTATTGTAAAAGCTAGGTTATAAAGAGACAAATACTTTCTGTTGCATTTAACATTATGTTGGAAATAATATTACCTGATTAAAAATAAAAAATTTGCATCTATACCTGTGATTTGTATCATTCTTGAATTGCAGAATATTGACAAACAGATGTCTTTTGATAATTTTATTGAAGTCATTTGACAAAATGTAATGTTTGTTGCTGGTGTATTGTTTTCATGGTTTAACGCACTTCGAAGCGCCTTGTTGCTGAAAGGTGCTGCAGAGATAAACCTGACTGGACTCCTTGATTCAAACTCCAGCTCTGCGTCTCTCCATGCAGCCCGGCCTCACCTTTAAGATCATATTACATTTACTGAAGCCTGCATATAAATTTCTCTGTCTCATCAAACCCTCCCTTCTTCCCCACACTCAGGATGGCCTCTCCTCTGACTGATATTGGCTCATCATACTTAATCTAGGGTGAAATTTCCTAGTCTGTGCTAAATGACTTGCAGCCTTCACGAGAGAGAAGATATTTATTTTTCTCAGGGCTAATGACCTGTCCCCGGGACCCACCCACTGATGGTTATTTACTAGGGCCCAGATGCTTGGGCTCAAAATGAGTGGTAATGTCAGCGGGCGCCATCCCTCATCGGGAAGCCCCCTGATTGAATCCGAGTGATCCCATTGACATTGACTCTGTGACTTTTAAGGCCATTACCTTCCACCGCCCACCATGATCACCTCATCATCTCCTCTGAGCTGACAGCTGATTAGCAACAAATTACTGACAGGAGGAAGGATCCCGCTCTTTGTGTGTGAGAGTCTGAGGCTTCCTCCTCCTCCGACACACGCAGAGTCCAGCTCCCAGCACGCACAAAAATAATAGCTCCGTCTGAATGCGGCGGCGGCGTCCTCGCCACTACGCTTGGTGTGATGTAATAAGCGTAGACTGGAAATGCCAGAGTTTGAAAGCAGCTGCTCCTCATTACGGAGGCCGATTCATAAAAACTAGTGGTGGGACTCAATTTAAACTTTTAATCAAGTTAATTACAGAGTCTAATTAATTAATTGCAATTATTTGGATTTTAATCAAACTATATATTGAGAAATTAAGCAGAATTTTCAATTCAGAATCCCTTTTTTTGCTGCAAACTTATTAAATTGATCAAATAGACATATGTACGACAGCATTTTACGGCCATTGTAGATTTTAAAAAAATGTGTTAAAAGAAAAATTTGCAGGAAAAAAAACTGATTAATTTCAGAAATTTTCTAGAAAAGAATAAAACATTTCTAATTTACTTTTTTGAAAAGTCAAAGAATTGAGAGTTCTTTTCTAGAAAATTTCTGAGATCAAGCTCAGATTTTTTACATTTTTTCCCAAATTTTTCACTTTTCAAACTCAGAAATTTGACTTTTTTCCAGAAAATTTCTTAGACTAATCTCAGAATTTCTGAGTTTTTACTCAGCAATTTTGTCTTTTCAAACTCAGACATGTATTTTTTTTTTCGAAAAAATTTCTATTAATCTCAGAACTTTCTAGTTTTTTCTCACAAATATTTGACTTTTCAAACTCAGACATTTCTGATTCTTTCCTAGAATTATTTTCTGATTTTTTTCGCTAGAAATTTTCTAGCGATTCTAGAGATTAAGCTCAGAATTTCTGAGTTTTTTCTCACAAATCCTTTGAAGCAGCCTACTCAAAAGTTTTTCAAGAACAATATTTGTTTGTGGTGCTATTGATGCTGTGCCATGCAGTCACAGTTACCTAAAAAAAGATTTTTTTTTTTTTTCAAAATCTTTACCGTTATCATAATAGTACCACAAAATATCCTGGTTCCTCCTACAACAGTTCTGATGTGATCTGACGATTCCTCTGAATGTTCAGACCTGCCTCCTTCCTCCCAAGCAATCAAAAGGATCAGACTAGAAGGGAGACGCTCCATTTGCTGCCAACAGGATCCATTTTTAATGCTTTGGGGGAATTTAAAGCCCACTTTTAATTACAGATCGGTCCCAGCGTAGCAGCAGTCATGGATGCTGGCTCTGTGGCCCTGAAGGTGCTTCGGTTCTGGTCCTGGGACGTTTGTGAGATGCTGGAGATGACAGCTGACCCTGAAGCTGTGAGTTCCTCAAGAACAGAGAAATCCCAGAAGTGGCTCTGAGGGGAGGATGGACTAGTCCTCCACTTGTGACGAACAGGGACAGAAGCGGCTGAAAAAGCACTTTCTGCTGGTTAATGAAGCTGATGGTCCCACTAGTGGATCTCTGAACGGTCAGAGCAGATGATGATAAGAGATGCCGACACAGAATGCTGTTCGTCACCAAACCACTGGCCTGGTTTCACATGAGATTGCTCTGATTAATCTACATGTTTTGTTATGTTTTTAAAGAGGATCCAATGTGTAAAATTTCCATTTTGCATATTTTTATACCTCCAACTGGCCAATGTGCTAAAAACAAACCGCCCACCTGTTTTTTGGCAATACGCTATTATTTTTGGAGTCTTGAA